AGGATTATGCACTGGTAGTTGTTAACCGTGCACACTTTGTAGTACAGGAGGAATGATTGAGCAAAAATGTTGTCTTCGTTTTTGTTGATAATGAGTCGAAGTCCTTGCCCGTCTTAATTAAAATTCGTTTGATTCGTATGTATGAGAATGCTTGGGCAAAGAGTGGGGCAATTAGTGCCCCATCGAAAAGGGGAGTTTTCCACAACGAAGGATTTAACCTAGTCACCCATGTGGCCTCCGCCAAGGAAATTTCTATCTGGTGGTTGAGAAAGACGCAGGATAACATTGTACTAGATGGGAAGACCTACTCTGTTTCCTTCCGACCTTGGATGAATGAACAACAACTGTACAATTGGCGAGAGGCAACACAATATAAATGTTTTTGGATTAAATGTCTATATGTGCCGGTTGCAGCTCTACTGTACTTGGCGTCATCCGTTAAGAAGACTTTTGCCGATCTGATGTTGCCTGAGCTACTGAACATACCGTTTGACCTTGAACCCATTGTCTGTCCTCGATATAAACTGGTTTTGATTATCGATATGAAATGTGGCGGTTATGTGCAAATTGAGGTGATCCCCACCCAGACACCATGGTGTAGGGTGTGTCGTCTAAATTTTCAATTCCGAAAAGGATGACTCGTGCCCGGTAAACAAGTCCCCTGCCCACCCTCGTGGACAAGCTGCCAGACCACGCCCAGGTTCTAAGAGCAGGAAAGAAGAAGAAAAAGGCACCCAAGAGAAAGCTAGTAGGAAAAAATAAAGCGTGTAAACAGGTCTGGAAACTTTAAGAAAATTCGAGACAAAATAGAACATACCGTACCTCTTCCAACCCAAAAGGGAACAACTCAACGACATAGCAAGGGAAAAAGCTCGAAAAAGTAACCAGGGGTACAATTGACTCGGGTAGTAAGACTGTGAGAGATGATGGGGCTGACGAGGAAGAGAGACAATTAGACAACATTAATTTAAACAAGAAAGCAGCCGTGTCTCCCGGATTCAACGGTGAAAACCGGGACGGTACCGGGAAACGGCTGCCCTCCCTGAAGAAAGGAGGGAGGAAGAGATCTTAACCCATGAACGCAAAGGTAAACCACAGTGGCTCGGAAGAGCCCACAAACCGAACCCCTCGCCTGCCCGGTGCTCTGCTCACGATGCAGCAGCTACGCTTACTCATCTGAAGTCTGAATCCTTAAAAAAATGCTTTGTGTACACGAACAAACAATCTGTCGGGTTTTCTTCCTTGAATTAATAATTATTTTAAAATTCTAAAAGGTCGTGCAGTAGATGTTTCCAAGAAAAATATTTTTCAGCGAACACCATTTTGTTTCAAACTATGTACTAAGTCTTGAGGTTTTTGTTTGTCTCACTGTATGTATCCGGTCTCTTAAATGAGACAGGAGTTTCAACCCTCTACCAAGGTTTAGGGTCTAGGCTCTAGGCTTGAACTCCGATAACACGCTAAAATAGAGTGTTAGGCTTGGGTGCAAGCTCTCAACGTTAAAATCGAGTGTCAGGCTTGGGTGCAAGCTCTCAAGATCAAGTTTGGGTTCAAGGTCAGGGTCAGGATTGAGTGGAAGATCCGGGCATACTTGAGTTCAAGGTGAGGTGCATGCTCATGGCCCTCTACTAAGGTCTGGGGCTTAGCGCTTAGGGTTTAGGCTTGAACTCCGATACCGAGTTAAGATCGAGTGTCAGGCTTGTGCGAGGCTACGCCAGCTTAGCCCCTACGGGTCCTTATTTGCACCAAGGTCGGCCGCCCTAAGTGATGGCAGGCACGACAGGGCCTCAGGGCCTCGATTTTCAGGGTACCCCACAACTTGGGAAATTCAGGCAGTTGCGCAGCGCCAGTTGGTTGAATGAACTCAGGGCCTGGGCTGCCTGTGGGAATGAATGTAAAGCAGGCCCTGGGCTGGATACGGGTACCGGGCCAAGCACAGGCCGAAAGCAGTTGGGCACA